TTGTTGAATTTGCCAAGCAAGCACTTTTCTAAAAATTAGAGTTGAACTGCTCCCCCAAGCTATTGCCTAATCTGCAGGTTTTGTTTTTTGTTTTTTTTTTGGGGGGGGGGGGTGTTCCTTCTCCTTTCTTTTACTTTCCTCCCCTACCCTCATCCTGTGGCTCTTCCTTGTCCCTAATACCATCTGGTCTTGAAGATTTAACTTCAAGAGTTGCTGGTCGGAGTCCGTTCCTAGGTTTTTACCCTTGGGGACACATCCTTAGGTCTATACAGTGTAGGTAAATCCTCAAAGAGGCATTCTGTCCCATTCTCCCCTCTCCCCAGCGTTCAGGTTCCTCTGGTTTCCCTCCCTTACCCCACCCCCCCTGCCCTGGGGGGATGCTGTGAGAATGGAAAGTAATTCCTGGCCTAACGCCACCTCAGGGTGCTCAACCTGCTGACTGTGCTTACTTACTGGCAGCTATGGTAGCGGCTGGAGCTGGGGAAGCCTGGGCTGGATTGAGCCAGCCTGGCTCTGTGACTAAACCATTAGTCTCCTAGCTCTGGGGATGATAGCTATTCCCAGGAGAGGGGCAGTAGTAGCAGCTGTTCGTGCTGGGAGTGAGGACTGCTGGACACCCACCCCCAACCCCTGGGAGAGGAGGGGGAAGGCCACGAATGTCAGCAGTGGTTGGAAGACTGAAATGCTAACATTGTGAGGCCTGAGTACCCTGGCCCTTCCTCACCAGCATCAGGGCCAGCTGTGTCTGAGATAACAGAACAATCAGAACCTCCTAATAGGTGAGAGTAGTGAGTAAAAACCCAGCACAGTTCTCTCCAGCCCCCAGCCCCCCAGTCACACTCCCAACCTTTGTGCTTGCATGGGATCTCCAGATTAGGCCCCTGCTCCACAATCAGAGAAAGGGACCTGGAGAGAAGGTGCTGGCAACCCTGCCCTGGAGGAGCCTTCCTAAGGAATTGCTTCTTCCTAGCCAGGTTAGCAGAAGCCAAGTTTTGTGCTGAGTCTGGCCAGTTTAGATGTGTTCCCTCCCCTCCCCACCCCCCATCCCGTGGCTGGCAGCCCAGGGGTGAGTGTGCATTGATCCGGAAGGGTGCCCAGTGTGCATCAGAGCCGGGGCCTACTTGACAGAGCTGCTGGGCTGGTTCTGCTGGGGACACGTGCTACCTGGCCACCCTCTACCCATGCCTGTGATTCATGGCTCCCAGTCCTCACCACAGCCCTCTTCTGCAGCTCAGGAACAGGCTGGGGCAAACCTGGCTAGAAGATCTGTTCAGCCGGCATGGCTCACTCAGGGTTTGATTCCCGGTCAAGGGCACATGCCAGGTTGCGGACTCGATCTCCCTTAGGGGGCGTGCAGGAGGCAATTGATGAATGATTCTCTTTCATCATTAATGTTTCTATCTCTCCCTCTCCTTTCCTCTCTGAAATCAATAAAAAAAATATTTTAAAAAATCTGTTCTGCTGGGCAATCTTTCCTCCCTACTCCATCCCAAATTTTGCTCTTTTGTCTCGAAATCTCCAAGGACCTGTTTGTTTTTTAAAAAATATATTTTATTGATTTTTTACAGAGAGGAAGGGAGAAGGACAGAGAGTCAGAAACATCGATCAGCTGCCTCCTGCACACCCCCTCCCGGGGATGTGCCCACAACCAAGGTACATGCCCTTGACCGGAATCGAACCTGGGACCCCTCAGTCCGCAGGCTGACACTCTATCCACTGAGCCAAACCAGCCAGGGCAAGGACCTGTTTTCTCCAGTTCTGGTCACCTGGGGGACCGAGGTCTCTGGATTTGGGAGAAGGATGTATGAATAGGTGCTTTCCCACCCCCACCCCCCCAGCAAAGGGGCCTCCAAGGTGCCAGCTTTTGGTTCTGGCTCTGCCCTCCCTCCCTATCTGGTTAGGGCCATCTTCTCCCCCAGGGCAGGCTCTAGCCTGGGGCCATGGTCCACAGAAGACCAATGAATATCCCAACTCTTCCCCACAACTGCTTGGCCTGACCAGCTGGTGGGAGTGTCAGAGTGAGATGGAGAAGCCAGTGGTTTTGAAGGGGTTGTGGGGAGAGGGCAGCACTGGGGAATTCTAATTAGAAAGCTACGCCTGGCTGGGTGTAGGTGGCGAGCTTTGGGAGAATCTTGCCTTGGTCCCTCCTGCCTAGGCATTCTTCCTGTTGCGCTTTTGGGCTAACGGTTTGGAGTGGGGATAGGCTCAGGATTGGGGGTGGGTTGTTGGTCCCTTGTTTCAGCTTTGTTATTGAATAGACTTCCTTTGACACCCTGAGATGGATGCTGAGGGAGAGGCTCCTGAAGGCAGAGGATCTCTGGGGGCCGGGAGTGATGGGCAGGGGCCGGCTGCCTGTGGGGTGAAGCTGAAGGAAACCAGTGGTTCCAGATTTGGGGCCCCCTTCTGAGCTGCCCTCCCCCACCTCACCTCGTACAAGTTGGGTTGTAAAATCCAGATGGCGGGCACGTTCCCTGGGGACTCTGCCCTTCCCTGAGCCCCTCCTCATTCGGGCCAAGATGGCAGTGGTCCCCTTCCCATGCCCTCTCCAGTTCTCCTGTGCTGCACTTGCTTAAGGAAGAGAAAAGGCAAAGAGGAAGGAAACAAGGTCTCTAAGTCCCAGAGGGGGCATGACTTGCCCGAGGACACAGGACTCCTTAGTGGTACATCCAGATCCTTCCTCCGAGGCCGGCTCTTTGTGCTCCTGGCACAGACAACAGGAGCTAGGAGCTAAGCGGCATCTCAGCCCTCTGACCTCCCCTTCCCTCCCTCCTTCCCCGCCTTGATTAGACTAAGGGCCGGCTTTCCGCTCCCCGACTCCCCTTCCTGAGGAGTGGCCGTTTTATCTCTGAAGCCCAGTACAGCTCTGGCCTCAAATCTGGCCAGAAGTCCCCACCCTCCTTTCACACTGTCATTCCAAGTCCTTGTTGGGGTGGACAACTTCACTGGGGCCTGGGAAGCCCTGAATTCCGCGGAAGCACTGAGGGTGCTCAGGACAGCCTGTTCTCCACCGCAGGCCGTTCTGGACGGAGGCCAGTGGGAGGAGGGCTGAATGAAGGCAGTAAGGGAGGCCCAGGCCAGCACTGGGCTAAGGGGTAAGCAGTCTGTAGCCACACATCATTTCCAAGGCCATCTGCTGGACCCTGGGCCGGGGAGTTGGTGGGAGGGTGTTTTAGGACCTGCTCCCTAGCTAAGCCAGAGGAGGGTGTTTTCCTTCCTTCCTTTTTCAGTTTTTTTTTGTTTACTTTTCTCCCCCTCCCTCACCTGCTTACCAAAGTCATAGGTCTTTGTTGGGGAAGCAGTTTAGAAACTTTGAAAATGGATAACCCCATAATGTAAACTTCAGGGCCAGCTAAACATTTGAACAGGTTCTTACATAGAATTTTCCAGATTTTCTTTTTTTGCATAGACATAAAAGGTACGCATATACCACACACGTGGGATTATATGACACATTGTCATACAGTTTTGCTTTTTCTCTTTTTAAAAACAATTCTTAAAATCCTCACTTGAGGATATGTTTGTTTATGTGCTTAGTATTGATTTTAGAGAGTGGAAGGGAGAGAGAGAGAGAAAAACATCCATGTGAGAGAGAAACATTGCCAACCCAGGTTGAACCGAAAGCTAGGTATGAACTAGAACCTGCAACCTTTCTGGTGTACAGGACAATGTTCCAACCAACCCAGCCATCTGGCCAGGGCTTCCCCCGCATCCCCCACCCCCAAACTATAAGAGAGAGTTTGTTAAGAAAGTCACAGAGGTAGAAGAAGTGAAGTGCAGAAGAAATGGGCTCAGGAAACAAGTTACAGAGGCAAAAGAAGGGGCCCTTGGAGTTTAGAAGAGAAAAAGGCAACACGCCTGGGGGGAGTGGAGGGGACAGGAACGGCGCCATGTGCTCCTGAGAGGGAGAGCCTGCTTTTCTCATTAATGTGTCTTGGGCATTATTCAACGTCAGGACAAATGGATTTCCCTCGTTCTTTTTGATGACTACACGAGATTCCATTGTGTGAACGCGCCATCGTTTATTAATTAAATCCAGAGTGTCCACGGTAATGAACTTCCTTGCACGTATTTCTTTGTACACTTGGGGGGAGATACCCTTTCAGAGAAATTTCTAGAAGTGGAATGGTCGTCAGAGGGTATATGTATTTCAAGTTTTCACAGACAGTGCAAAGTGCGTGTTTGTGTAGAGAGGGTTTGGGCGGGGAGAGAAATTTAATCCAGCCTCCGAGATTTCAAGGCCTCTTCACACGGAGGGGGCCTGTCGTGGGGTGGACATTCTAGCACTCTTGCTTTTGTGGAGGTAAGAAACAAAACCACCAGCAAGCTGGCAGAAGATCTGCAGGCCTGGGGAGTGAGCTTGGGCTGATTTTACTGGGCTAGGGGACTGAGCCCCACCCGGGGCTGCCTGGCTGCTGGCGGAGGTGGGCAGATGGCGAGGACTCCCAAGCACCGGGCTTCGCTTCTCGCAGAAGGCAGGCAGAGTGGGCGAAACTACTCCTAAAATAAATCCCCAGGACGTGGCTCAGAGAGGGCGTCAGGCTGGGACTAGGAGTGCGTGCTGTGAAGGGAACGTGGGGACAGATCTGGAGCCTGAAGGAGGGCAGCGTAGGCCCTGGACCTCCTTCGGGGCGACCCTGACTCCTCTAGCGGGGACCCCCACCACCTGCTAAGGAATCCTGGAACAGGAAGCAGAAGCCTGAAGTGTCAGAAACCTCAGCCACGCGGGTCTGTCTGGGGCTCCACCGCTCATCAGTTCATTCATTCAGGCTCCTGGCCTAATCCCGGGTCCAAGCCCCTTCAGATGGGGTGGCAGGAGGTGGGGAGGCAGGAGGGTTCCTCGCTTTAGCACCTCCCGGCCCCGCCTATTAGATCTGGTGAAGGGA